CATTAATAACTCAAGTTTAGTCGTTCTGCTTTGCTCCTTCTGATAAGTAAGTTTATGGATTAATCAACTTTCTTCACTTAATATCTCAAAAAAGCAATTTGTCTTTTGGGTCCCAGTGACATTTCTAAAAGCTAAGCTTATAATGCAACTTTCAATTTGCATCTCAATACTGAACTCCACTTGCCCATCTTATCTGTGAAACGCTGCTAAATAGATAAGTTAGCTCTGCACAATTATGTACATCTCTTCCATTCTGGAACAGACCTGCTCAGGTATGCTGAGCTACAATGTGTTATACGATGCTACGCTGTGCGGTGCAAACCCCTTCGCCATCACCAGAAATATATTTGAGGAATGAGACACAGTAATTAAAGGTGAGCAAAGCTCCTTTGTGTCCTCCCTCTAAGAAATCCTAGCAATAGGCCACTATGCTGAAGAACGTGGATTAGAATAGCCAAAGTCATAGCAAATGTAGAAGAGAAATCGAGACAAACTTGCTCAAATCTATCCAAAAGGAAGAGCACATACAGCTCTGCAGCACTATGGTGAGCTATAGGTTCTGAGAACAGCAACAAGAAAAAACTCAAGGTGAAGTCTTGTGAGAGCCATAATGTCTGCATCATGACAGCGGACATGATTCAGGTTTTTTCTCTTTTAGCAAATAAGTAAGTAAATGTCCTCCTTGTATTTTCTTTCTCAATGACCACTCATTGGCCATCACCATAAAAGTAAGCACAAAAAGGAAGTCTAATTTATATCAAAAGAGAAGGAGGCAGAAGAGAGAAAGGGACAGAAACTAGGAAAAAAGGGAAAAGAAAGGGGAAAAAGAACATTAGTGGCAGGGAAGGAGACTAGAGTCAATAACAGCAAAATGATAGGACCAATTAGCCTTTAAAGAATATTCCTGTCCACAACATGGAACTGATTCCAGAAGTCTTGAGAACCCACATTCCCATGCTGTGAGCAGATTTATGAAATTCCCTGGCAAATCAGACATCTCATCCCCACTTCTGGTGGCTGATTCTAATACCACCTGCTCTGTCAACATATTCCTTTGTCTCAAGTAAGGGAGCAGTTTTCTATAGTGTTTGACAGTAAATAGTAGGATGATAACTACCAATAACAAGTCAATATGGCTTCAATTTACAAAATTCAGGGATGGATGGGTTCCAGGATTCTAAAAGGAAATATTTAAAAGAATCCTATATTAAAATATTTATTTGAACATATAAAGTGTTTTTTACAGGTAAACTTTGCAACTCTAATGTTCTTTAATACAACATAGTTTTCTTTTATGGTGAAGAAAAATTACCTTGAGAAATGCGAAAAAAATTTGAAAGCTGTAAAAAATGTTGCTTAAAAAGTATTTTAGTTAAAAGATAAATACTACAAGCTATATCTATATCATAACTGCCCAAACAGAAAAGAGCAAAATTTATTCTTTGAAATTTTTACTAAGCTGAAGAGTATCAAATCTAACAAACTCAAGGCACAAATGACAGAATCTATAGTATTGGCCAGACTTCGTGATGTCCCACTTAACACCAGAAAGAGCCTCAACAGGTGCTTGTTTTCAGGTATGGAAACAGGTCACTGAAACTTGTCCTTTGCACCAGAGAAAAACATTAGTAAAATTTTTAAAATCATCACTAAGATTTATCTTTCTTGTGTTCAGCTAATCAACACCTCCACTGCTTCAACTACTAAAAATACCCATATCCCCAGGGTATTAGAATACATTTCTATGGAAATAAGAAAGAATTTCCTTGATTTCTTATGTTTACATGCTTCTCTGGCTAAGGATGGTTTTTGTATCTAGGACAAGAAAGAAAATAATTTAATATGTAATAGATGTGCTTTCTTGTCCTTGTAAATGTTATCTTTAAACCTCTAATGTCAGTTGTCCTATATGTCCTATATTCGTACTTCAGGAAGCATTAAAGAGTTCCAATTTGACCTACTACACTGCAACGTTATACTGTCAAAATCAATTATATTTATCCCTTAAGAAAAGGATCATCTTTTAATGCTCAACAAAATGAACTCAGCTGATTGGAGAGCAAGGCTGACAGACTTTAGAACAAAGTGAATGGGATATCCACCACGAAAGAATCACTGGGCCAATTGGTGCTTGAGTGGGAAAGTTAAACTGGCAAAAAAAATAGAATGACATTCACACTCTGTATCAGAGTGTGAAGTAATCCCAGGCAGGTAGGGGAAAGACTAATATTTTTTGTAGCTTCTAATTACATACATATTAAGTAGATTCATATTAAGAACAAAGACTCTATAAACAGCCAAAGGAATAAAGTGAAGCTGTATCAAGTATAATTGAAGCAGTGTATTCTCCAGAATAAACATCCACAGCTACCATCAACTGGGATATCATCTGTACGGTAGCAGAACAGTCACTAATTATGAGCAACTCCTCTAAATTATTTTTATTTTGAGAGTTCAACTACAGCTGTATGTTTAACCAAGAAAAATGAAAAACAGATGCTTTGAAGTAACATAATGCATTTATTTAAATAAACATATTCAGAAAAATTAAATTTCTCTTTTAAAATAGTATCTTATGGTATCAAGTATGGATTGTATCAAGTCTCTCAGAATATTGTAATTTCAAGAGTTTAATTTTTTATCTGTTTAGCTTCACACAGATAATTTCACCTGCAAATTTATTTTTATTAATTTGAATTTATACTGCAGTACAACAAACCATTCAAGGCAGTTTATTAAACTCAAAATACATGATAGTTCCTGTCCTGAAGAGACTCCTGCCTAAGTGACAAGCAATACCAACAATGGGAAGAGAAACAGAAGCAAACAGAGGTAAAATATCTCGTCTAAGTTCAAGCCACAGGTCAAAGACAAAATTGAGAGTAAAATCCACAATATGTGGCTATACTGCCTCCATCGGGCTATCAATCTACTGTGAGCCTCACAAGCAACTTGGAAAGGAAGTGGCAAAAGTAGCAAGAAACCAGCAGAACTTCAACTTTTACTTCACTTTCTTATGCAGCAGATGACACAGTTGAAGTTAGTGTGTTTTGTTCCTGTCCATGGAAAAATTACCACAGTGTAAGACAAGCACTGTAATTCTCTGGGTTAGTGCTGTATTTTGATCTATGCACTACCTTTTTCTCAGGGCTGATCACAAACTTAGAGAATAACCTTGTGTTGGTTGAATTTGTAAGAGATTCATAGCTAAAACCAGGAGAGGATTTTGTTCCTACAGAAGTTCATACAAAGTTCTATTTAGAAAAGTAAAAATGAATGGCACTAGGCATGGCCATATTATTCTATAACCCTTGCTTGTGCAAAACATTAATCTTTTGTATTCCAGATTTCAAACATTCTAAGCAAGCAGCCCTGAACTGATTGTTAAAGCAAAGCAAATAACAAAAAATGCATTCAGGGATAATTTCGGATTTCAAATTGACTAGCTGTAAAATGCTTAACTTTTTTTTCTTACTTAAATTTCTAACTACAAACAGGTAAATATATGTATTTTTTAAGGGTGAAGGAAGGCATGGTTGTTTTAGAAATTTAGGGCCATGCCTTAAATATGGAATTGGCTCTTGCCATTAGCATCCTTTTTGAAACTAAAAATACCTTTAAGCCAAAAAATTACTCACTCTCCTGAGGCAACCTTTGATAAAATTACAGTCACTTACTCTTGTAGTACAGCAGACACAAAGCAGACAAACAAAACCAAAAAATCCCAAAAGATGATACTCCATGGCACTCTATAAACCTTTTAGGCTCTGACCAAGAACATTAAAAATGCAAAGTTCAGTTACCAATGTAAATGGAATTTAGCTAACAGATCTTATAAGGAAAAGTACACTCCAATTAACACTCTAAAAGTTAAATTCTCCAGTATTTACTTTTTAATACAAAAATAGTTAGACTAGACTAAACGCTACCATTGTAACAAAAGTGTAAAGATCAGACCATGGTGAATTTCAACAATACTGCTCCAAGAAAATAGGATCATGCAGTTTTTTTCTTGGATTCTTTTTTTTATGGCAGTCATTCTTTTGTTTATGCTTTTTTAAAGAGAGGATTATAGCATTTAACTTAGATCAAAATAAGCATATATCAAGCATGTCATCAATACTAATATTTTAAAAGTAATAATACACATCTTTTGAACAGGTCAAATTCATCAAATGCAGAAAGATATACTTTAGGTTTTCCAAAAAAATACAAAAGTTCAGAAACTCTAAGGGGAGAGATAGAAACAAATGTTTGCAGACGTAACTGAAAAAGTAACCACAGAAAAATCACAGAAAAATACAATTGAAAAAATAACCACAGCAAAATATAGCTGCCTTCAACAGCGCAGAAACAATTTTACCATAGTACTGCAAGATGATTCAACTCATATTTCAAAAATAAAACACCTCCATCCCCCCAAATACTCAAGATGCTATCACTATAAAGGTCTATCTTAATAGTTTAGCAATTTAAAAACCGTGACAGAAAGTGGATTTGGTTATCACAATAGCTCTTTGCCCTCTTCAGTAATTCTGAGAAGCACAAGTAAACAGACAAAAATAAGTCAAAATCATGGCTTTTCTGGGAAATGGTAAATCAATCTATGAAGTGAGAAAGCCTTATGGACTTGGCAATGATTTAGATTCTCTTTCTTTCCTTTTCATATCAAAGGCTGCTCTTAAAGAACTACAATGAAATACAAACATTTAATGTAGATGAATTTTGTCAATATCCTGGTGATCAACTGTAGCAACTTTGTACATTATTATAGGAAAGCCAAATTCATTCCCATGCAACCCTGTTGTCTTTGTGCTGTCTACAGAGACATTCTTAATACAGACACTGACTAAACCCATGATATTGTTAAACAAAATCCTGGTTGATGAATTACTTAAAATACAGCATGAAGTTTACCCACACTTATGCAGCATTTTCTATGATTACATCAGGGAGACAGAAATAAGACAAACACTAAAAAACAATATAAACACATTTAC